ACTTTACAATCATCTATTGAATAAAGCAAATAAGCGTTATGAGAAAGATCACGCAGACAGGCCCACATGTGTTTGCAACGCTTTTTTACTCTTCCTGCAATTATAATACATAGGCATATTTTTGTGCGTTGTTTGTAACTGTACCCTTCTATCAACTAGACGTCTCCTGTGAAATATGCGACCCTCGAAGTTGGCCAGTTGATTAATTGTCACCGGATATGTAGTGATTTAATAGTTGAATTTAAATTTAAACAGTGTTCAACCTTTTTTCAATATAATTTTTCAGAAACGATGGCAAGGCATGTAAGAAGGTTCGCCACAGTGGGTTCCTATTTGAGTTTATAACAGACCTTTACCTCAAAATGAATTGTCAAAACACGTTGTGGCCTATATTTCTTAGTAAAGCCTATAATATCATATTTTGAAGTTAAAATAAGCATAAAGTTATAATTGTATTAGGCCTGAATATAATTAAACCACAGAAAATGCAATAGTCCAACTACCTATTATAGAATACAGTATTAGAAGTTGCCAAACGGCTTCTGTGTCAGCATTGTATAACGTAAAATAGAAGATCATCACACTTATTTTTCCGCGAAACCCTCCATGATCAGAAATTAGAAATGCAAGGAGAGGTTTCCCTTACGGACCTCTAACGACAAGTCACAGTTGTAAAATATTTTATGTCCATGTGAGGTAACGAATAAACAACTTGTCTCCTATAACCTGATGAAGAAGCAATAACCAGCAACGCAAATGTAAGCTTTATCCTACTAATGAAATACAAAAACTTTTTAAAAGAGTCCAGCACATAGTAAGCCTTTTAGCACGTCGTCCTACGTTGCTAGTCTGATTGCATGGGTACTTAATACTCGTTTACGCTTAAGGGGATGACTCCTCCAGTTTAATGATTGGATGGATCAACCGCATCACCTGGAACTCGCATATAGTGTGTAACTAATATTATATACTCTCGTCAAATCGTTTTCACCTTGAGTTTTCCAGTCACCTCTATCTGAAAGGGGAAGAGGGTAGGGCAACCATCGGTCGTACAGTTACGTCCTTAATTGTCGTGATGGGGATCAGTCGAAGACGTAAACCCATTCCCTTTCCTGTCCTCACACTCCCCCTGCATTCCACGCATGACCTCTATTTTTATTTTTAACTCCATGATTAATCAACGCGAAACAATCATTGCTTTCATGTGGCATTTTAGACACTTATTTGCCACCACTAATATTCTGCGCTTGTTTGACTGTAGAACTGGCTACTATTTCTAGAGAGGCTCTCAGGCAGCACTTAAATAGGATAATTGCAGATAGGGCAGAAATTCTTGACAACCTCATTCTTTCAAATTAACTTTAGGCAAACTCTAGTTACCTAAAACATTGGTTTAACCGGCTTTCTTATTTACTCTTTTCAGCGCACGCGGCCTACATTAGACAATGACACGTGGCCAGAAATTCACACAATTACCAATCCTATTTCCTGCCTTGAGGCTCCAGTCGAAACAGTCATTAAGTCTGGCCCGGCAGTGGAGGTTGCAACACCGCTGACCTCCATACGAAGCAGGTACTTTCGTCTTACTTAAATCAGACTTACATCCCTTACCCGTTACTCCGATTATCTTGCACTGTTATAATGGGTATCGTGAACATACTTGCTGTTGTTAACATAAGATTTGGACACGGGAGGAAAAAGCATTTCACTGCTCCACAGGCTTTATGCAAAGAGTCTAAAGACTCTGTTGTGACCAAGTCTAAATACTTTGGGATAATTTTGCACGCCAAGGCCGTATGCGTGTTAGTCATATTGATAAATGTCCTTCTGCGCACGTTTATAAACTAGCTGACTTTAAACACTCGACGTTCAAATTCCCGCTGATGCAGTACTTACATATACTGTTAATGTGGGCGGTCAGGTTAGTTCCAACAAGTAGCTGGTAGATCGCAAGCATACATAATGTACTTTTAGGCTGGTTTGACTATTGAACTGAACGAGTGAATATGAGTGATCCTTACAAAGTGTATATTATTATACTGCTCAGCTGGGTACGTTTGTATCTTAACGACACAACAAGTTTTCAAGATGACTACTTCAAATTTAAGATTGCTTTTTAAAAAATAGCGAAACCGGCAAGGTTGGCAGGCTATCAGTGAATAAATTCAACTACAAAAACACCAATATGTAAGACATGAGTTTATTTGTAGTGCTATCAGCTTATCTGAGAGAAAAGGGTGTGCGGAGAGCCCAGCATAATGCCTCAATAGTTATCATACCAGCCAATTCATATTTTTCGTCCTATTTAGAGTGAACTAATTAAAAACCTTGGCATGTTTTGAAAACGAATATGTGCAAATATCTGACAGAGCTGGTAACCCCGAAATGGATATCAAATTTAGCATTTATTCAGACAGAAGTCTTTTAATGAACAAAGTGAAGTGTTGCAGCTCAGCCCTTTTAATTACTTCCCTAAAAATACTTTAACGTGATTGCCTCACAGGCAGGTTTACTAAGCCTCCGGCCATCATTCAAGGTAAGATGTACCGATCATTTGATATAGCAATACCCTAAAACAACCAGCATGTCAAGCATCGTTTGAATTTCGTACGGACCAGATGCGTGTCTATTGAGATTGACACGAGAATGCGTTTATCATAGACAATGGCTCAAATTTCAAGGAATATAAGTTGAAATATAATTCATTTTTCATTTTAACTCATGGAATGATTGAAAAATCCAGCGTTACCTGGTTTGCAGAGAGAGACCCTTTTAGCAGGTAATTAAAGATTATTCTGAAAGATGCTTAAACTATGGGAAAACTGTCTTAATCAGAAAGAGAGAGTTAAGGCAGTTTATGTCAATTTTGGACGAGGAAGAACTCAGGCACGACGAACGAGAGTCGTTGGATTGTGTCAGGTTGCGCAGTTGGCCTTACTTTGAAACCATTGAGCATTATGCCCATTGCAGTAAGTGCGCAGTTTGTCGCACATGGCATTTATTTGTTGGCAATAGCCATGGGACTTAATACTATTCCTTCATCTCACGCATATGGGTCCCTGACGAAATTTCCAGCGTGTTCAATGTTTTAAAACTTCAATCATGCGCTTTACATTCAGACTCAAAAGTGCAATTTGTTCATGGTAGCATTTCGTAAATAGATAGCAGACTTACCTTTGAAGTATTTCTGCAAAGCCCGCGTGGAATGTCGCAAGACTTGAGGGCATGGCGGGTTAATATAACAAGTCCAACTCCAGGATGATAAAAAGCATTACGTGCTGGCCTTCGCTCCAAGATGTTCAATTGGTTATGTCGCATGGGTGGGATGGACTTTACCTTCGTAACTAAGAATAAACGACAGCCCTGCTGGTCGCAACTGCTATCATCAACGCACATCATTTCTGTCTAATGCGCTTTTATAAGTTAAATGGGTCATGGACAGAACTTTTACGGACGTGACCTCCTTATGTTTGTAATTATTTATCCAAAATGTAATTTTCTTCTGGCCAATTACAAAGATTTTACGACTGCCTGTGTGAAAGTAGGCGCTGCTTAATCCTACTTT